AAGTTGATCATGAGAAGTTATCTCTCTGGAGAGAAAAGCTTGAATCTCTTATAGACTTATAAATAAGTGAACTATCAAAAGAGAAAGAATATAAACAGCATTTGAAGAGAATTTCTACAATTAATATAAAAGACTCTATTCTGGTTTATTCAGATAGCTCAAAAAATGAGAACTTGAATAGATTAGGCGCAGGCATTGCTTATACTGAAGATAATATTAATTTTATCTCAGATTTCTGAAATCTAGGCTCTGAATGTGAAGTCTTTGATGCTGAACTATTTGCAATAGTGAAAGCTTTCAAACTCATTGAAATAAAATCTCATAAAAGAGGAAATTATTTGAAAGAGACATAGATATTCTCTGATAGTCAAGCTGCTTTAAAAAGACTTAGAAATAGTCAGATTCATAATGATCAAATGAATCTTGAACTGATCTTAAACTCTGTTTTGAAAATTCAAAAGAGAAGAACATCAAAGCTGATAATTCATCTGCACTGAGTTTCTGCTCACATGAATATTCATGATAATGAATTGGCTGATTCAGCTGCAAAAAAGAGTGCAGAATTAAGCAGATCTATTCAAAAAATTATGTCCTGGTCTTTTATAAAGAGAAAAATAAAAGAATCTTGTTTAGACAAGTGAAATGAAAGCTGGCAGAAACAAAAGAAGAGTATACATTATTCAAGATTTGAAATAAAACCCAAGTGAAAATCTTGTTCAATTAAATGTAAAAAGAAAATATTCTCATCTATAATACAGCTGAAACTAGGACATGACTATTTCAAATCTTATATACAAAGATTTGATGATAGATTTGACTCAATAGAATGCTCATTCTGCAATACAAATGAGAATTCTGAGCATATTATAATGCACTGTGCATTATACAATAGTCTCAGAGTCAGATTGAAAGAGAAGTATGATCTAAATCAATTAAATATGAGATTCTTATTCTCAACTGAGATAGGAATTAAATACTTAATAGACTTTCTATCAGAAACTCAAGCAGCTACAAGAAAATGACTAAATTCAGAATTATCTGAGTATGAAGAGGAGGAAATTAATCAGATATAGTCTGTTAAAACAGCTATACACTCTCTTTTAATAATTTGTTTTGTTATAGTCTCTCTTTACTTTATCTTTTTCTTTATCTTTTTCTTTCAATTTCTTTCTATCTATTTATTTAATGTGTCTATCTTTGAGACTGTGTTCTTTTTCTCTTTTCTTTTGTCATGATATTGTCAAATGGTTTCAAAGTATCAAAAGATGTTAAAACACTGCAATTTGTAAACAGTTTTTGTATTCTGAGCTGGAATTTTCTGATTTTGCATATCTGAAATTGATGAATGTATAATAGTTAACTTTACAGACATAGAAAAAACCCTGAGAACTAAAGTTCTCAGGTAGATGTCATAGTCTCTGACTGCATACATCTATAATTGAAGAATAATAATAATAATAATAATAATAATAATAATGAATGCTTCACTGAGTGTAGATAAGTGAGTGATCTTATATTATACTTTATACACTTCAGTTTACACTATCTTACATTGAATGAAGAGCTTTTAACATCTTTCTATTTATAGATCTTCATTCATGATCTTACACCTGAGTTGAGAGTAAAATGAAAATGCTTAATCTCATAGTCAGGCATAGTGAAGAAAGCATATAATATTCTCATTATACAGAAATAAGTAAGTCAATTGTAATAGAAAATACTGCAATTGAGTATGTCTCAGTGAAGAATGAATAATCAGACTTCTATAACACAAGTTACACACTCAGATATAATAAATCTGAATCTGAATGTCATTGCTAAAGCACTGAATTCTCTGAAAAAGAAATTCTCTGAGTGAAAATCTTGATATTATGAGCATTGAGCTTGCTTCAACTGCAGACATTAAAATCATAATGTAAAAGATTGCACTCAGTGTACACAGTTAAGAGAAGTAAGAGAGTTAAAAAACTAGCAGAATCAGTGAGCTCAGAGATACTCACTGATATTCTATGAAAAGTCTTCAAAGTAAAAGAGATGTCTGCATTAGATGACTCTCTGAATTCTGTAAATATTAAGAGAAAGCAGGCTTCTGACTGAGATATGAGTGAGAATGATGAAGTAAACACTCATCTCAATGCCTTGAGACCTGAAATGTTAATGTATAAGAGATACTTGAATAAGAATTGAGAGATAGCTGCAAAAGTGTTAATGAATACAGAAGCTTTAACATAATATATTGATAATTATATAATCTGAAGATTGAAAGAAGTTCACTGAGTGAAGAATTCTTGATGTATAAGATTATCTGATAATTAATATTTGATATTATCTGTAAAAGTAAGAGTTTTCTTGCACTTCAGAGAATAATCTTTCTATATTTGAGTGTGAGAGCTGCAGAATGTGAAATACAATCTTATTCTTAAACTTGATTGATTTCAAAGGTTCAATCTGCAGATTCAATGATGTACATATTATATGCAGTTGACTGATAGAAAGAAAATGATTCATACAATTCTATCAACTGATATGAGAAGAACATTTCACATCTCTGATATAGAAGAGTTAAATCTGCTTACATATTAACAAATAAAGAGAATAATTTACAAGATCTCATTCAAAAGCATTCTGTATATCATACAGAATCTGAAAGTAGAGAAAACCAAGATAAAAGATATACAGAAGAACAAGTGTATGAAGAAGCTTCTGAAGAAGTATAAAAAGATCTTCTGAACAGATCTTTCACTGAAATTACTGCTGAAATGAGAATTCATATATAAGATTGATATAAGGAATGCAAAATCAGTCAATCAGAATGCATATCTTCTGTCATAAACACATCTTAAAGAACAGAAGCATCAGATCACAGACCTTCTAGAACATAATCTTATATAACTCTCATTAAGTGTGTGAGGCTTTTCAGTTCTATTCATGAAAAAGATGAGTGAAGAGTGACAGATGTGTATCAATTATTAAGCACTTAATAAGCTTATAATCAAGAATGAATATTCACTGTCATAGATTCAATAACAGTTGAATACAGTTAGAAGTGTCTGATATCTATCAAAGATTGATCTTCTCTCAGAATACTGACAGATCTGTGTAGATAAACTGTCAGTTTCATGAACTGTGTTTAATATATAATGAGAGAAGTTTGAATTTCTGATAATATCATTCAGTCTGATAAATGCATCTATCATCTTTTAAATGATGATGAATACAATTCTTCATAAACAGAATGAAATCTCATATCTTATATATCTCAATGATATTCTAGTCTTTTCAAACTTATATAATGAATATCTGAAGTATCTCAATGAAGTGCTTATAACTCTGACAGAGTATAAACTCTATATTAAATCAATCAAGTGTGTGTTTAAAATAGAAGAGTTGAAGTTTATAGAATATATAGTAAGTAGTGACTGTATACATCTCATTCTAAAGAAATTGAATATTATAGTGAATTGACTGCAGCTGAGAAATATATATCATGTATAATAGTTTCTTAAGTTAATCTCATACTACTGTAGATTTATCAAGAATTTTATATAAATATCTGTATCACTCTCAGATCTTTTAAGAGAAACAGATGCAAATCTGCAAAAGAAGAAGTTTTATTTAATTATCTGAAATATCACATATAAAGAGGCTTTTCTCACACTGAGAGAATGTATTATAATATTCTCAGTACTTATTTAATTAAATCATAATAAATCTTTCTACATTGAGATAGATGTATCTAAATAAGCTATTAGAGATGCTCTTCTACAGATAAGTAAGAATAGCAAGCTGCACTCAGTGATATATAATAATAGAAAACTATCAGACACTGAGCTTAATTATTCAGTATATAAAAAGAAATTACTAGTAATCAAGCATATGCTGATATTATGAAATAGATATATTAATAACAGATATACAACAACAGTGATCACAGATCATAAAAGTCTTATTTATCTATAATTAATAATAAAATCTTTCAAATACTTAGTATATTGAATCTCAGAGTTTCAAGTATATAATCTTCATATCAAATATTAAAAGAGATCAGACACTGTGATATCTGATATAATCAGTCACAGATCTGATTTCATGAGTGAGAATTCTGCAAATCAGATATAAGAAATATTCATATTAAACACACTGAGAAGATGTAAGAAATCAGAATAAGTGAATATCATAATCTCTTGCTTAAAGAATGACAAGATATTAGATGATAAGCATCTTATAAAAGTAGTAGAAGAGATGCTTCTGAACTTCAAGCTGAGAAAATTGAAAAATAACATTATACTTTACTGTGATCTAGAATATGCAGAAGCTTTCTATCTAGAATCTTTATTTCAATGTGACTTAATAGCTTATATATACAAGGAATTCAGTCACTTAGAAAGCTCTGAACTTATAAGTGTACTTAAATCAAGAGTATACTAGTCAAGTATGACTGAGAACATTCAGATATATACTCACAAGTGTCTGAATTACCAGATTATGAAAGAATCTAAGAAAGAGTTAGAATATAAGAAAGTATAATATCAGATAAAGTGTATAATATAACTGTTCAAACAATGAAGAATAAACCTTATAGACATATTACTGCAGACATCAAATGAAAATCAATGAATAATCACTGCTATTGATTATACTACTGACTGGCCAGTTGTGAAAGCAGTTTCAGAGATAATAGAGAAGATGATAATAAAGTTTCTACATAATAAGATCTATATCAACTATGAAATGCTGTGTGAGATTCTAACTGATAACAGTGTGAATCTTGTGAGAGAAGTAGTGAGACATTTCATGAGCCAGTTACAGACAAGATATCATAGAACAATGTCATATCATTCACAGACAAACAGAAAGATGAAACACTTGAATGAAATCTTGAACAATATACTGATGAAATATCTAGTGAACAAGCCTATGAGACTATGAGATGAATATCTCAGGCAGGCACTATTGGCCACACGGATTCAACAGCATGCAGTCTCCAAGTGTTCACCATTCTACCTGTTGTATGGATTGCATCCGCGCATCCCGGAGGATGCTTCGGAAAAGGTGAGGGAGGGAGCAGTTGCGGACGCAGCAGGAACAGCAGTTGCGGATGCAGCAGGAACAGCAGTTGCAGACGCAGCAGGAACAGCAGTTGCGGACGCAGCAGGAACAGCAGTTGCGGATGCAACAGTCGCGGACGCGGAACCAAGATTGAAAGAGATCAGCCACGCACGCGCAAAAGCTAACAAGTTACTTCTGAACTGAGCAATTCAATTGAAAAGAATATGAGACTCACTAGTTAAGAAATCAAGTCTCAAGATGAGAATATGAGTTCTCATACACAATGAGAGTTCTGAGAAGTTTCAATCTAGATGATTTGAGCTATATAAGATACTCAAATCACATTCTCTGAGAATATACACATTGAAAGAATCAGAGAGATGAATCTTATATAACTTAATAAATAATTCATAACTTATGAAAGTAAAAGTATAAGACTTAAACAGATTATAATCATTCACAGCACTATCATCAGTATTAAAAAAGAAGAAGCTTATAATTAAAAAGTCTTATAAAGTAAGAGAAATCATAGACACTTACAAATCAGATAATCTCACTTATTTCAATCTTTTCATAATTATAAGAAAAGAATGAGAAGAAATGAAGAAATCAGATAAATATCACACTCTGATAAGTGATGAGACTATAGCCAGTTATATAATAATGTATCATAGACAGCAGACATAACATAGTAAAGAGCAGTCTCAAAGTAGCAGACTTATATATGAGTCAGATTACAGAAGAAAAAGAAATTCAGAGTTGAATTCAACTGTTTACATCAGTTTAATTACAGAGATCACAGAGAATGAACTATCTGAAACATCTGCAAACACATGAGATCAAGTTATCTCAATTTCTGAGAACACTCAGAGCTCAGATAAGATTAGTTTTAATAAGCTATTCACTGTAGTGATCTGAGCAGGTGAAGAGAGACAGTATAATATACAAGACAGAATTATAAAAGATGAAAGCTGTTAAATCTAGTCACTGAATACTATATTATATAGAGATCATGTAAGAGTAGTGACTAGCAGATAAAGAAAAAGTGTAAGAAAAAAAATAATGAATTGATTATTAACTGTATAAGTTGACTGTAAAAGACAAATATTATCATACATACTTCATTTATTTTTATATGTTACATATTTAATCTATTTCCAACATCACATCATCTGAAAAATGTCAAAAAAAAAGAAAATCTCAAAACTCAAGATCTGTAAGAAATTCAAGAGCTGCAAGCTGCTCTTACAACAACACTGTGCATATCTCTGATTTCTCTATCACTCTGTGTACAACATTAATATCATTTATTACAAGATTGACTGAAATGCTAATATAGAAATGTGTATGTGTATATATAGAGAAATTGAAGAAGAGCACAGAACTCACAGAATCAGAAGTCAGAGTAGAGAGAATAGAGGCAGAAGAAATAGAAGAAGAAGAAGACACAGAATCAGATGAATAATAGCAGAAGTCACTCAGAGCTGAATACTTATGATCTGATATATGCATAATCTTTCTCACAGAGAAGAAAGAGAAAGTAACAGAAGAAGCTTGAGAGTGAGAGAGAGTAGTCTTAGCAGTATTATCATCTTCAATTAGAATGATCTCTGATACTGAAGTAACTAAGAATCATTGTTAGCATATAAAAATTATAAAAGTAGAGATAACAATTACTGAATAAACACTCACTGATCTTAGAATTGTACACATAATTACAACACACATGAGACTTCTCAGAAAGAGAGAGAGAGACACAGAGAAATGCAGGAATCAGAACATAGCATGTGAACAGCTCATTTTCATGATAACATCTTAGATAAGACATACAAGTCTCATATCTATGAGTGTAAAAGAGTACAACATTCATGTTCTCATTTCTGAAAACATAGATATCTTTTATCTGCATCACAAAGTTGAATGACAGATATCAGAGAATAGGCTGATATAAATCTATTATTCTAAAGAAATTCATCAGAGTGAATATCTCTACAATATTGAACTTTACAGTTATAAAAAGCTTCTTAATATCTGTGAATATCATGACTTCATACACAGTAAAATTCATAACAATTTTCTCTAAGAACAGAAAAATCAGTGTTAGAAAGAAAAGATGAAAAAGAAAAAGACTTACAATTTCAATACTATTGAGAGAGAGAGTGATTTTCTGATATAAATAAATAATTATCTTATCATGAATATTTAAAATAAATATAATAATCAGTGTCTGCAATCAAGCTTCAGATAGTTGTGTTATACACAGTTTTCATATAATAAATTATTCTGAGAGTCAGTAAGAAGAACAGGAGTATACACACTGAGAGACATGATTTATTAAGTCTATGCAACATCTTCTTGTAACAGGGAGAGCTGGTAATAAAAGCAGAGATAATAAAACCAGGAGTAGCAGAAGTAGAGATCGCGGGAACAGAGGTAGCAGAAGCAGGAGAACCAGACACAGAGACAGGTGTAGAAGATTGAGAGAGAGTGACAGAGAAAGAAACAGAGAGAGTAGAGAGAAATATGAGAGATCTGATCACATATAACACAGATAATTCCTTCATTATCATGTTCTTCAAGTTCTTAATCAATGATTCAACACTGAATTCACTATCATCAGTGAACACAGATCTGTTAACATATGAAGATTCTACACAAATAAAAACAACATATCAGCATCTGTGTTCATGCAAAATCATGTCAGAAAACATGATCAGAAACCTGCTGAGAAGAAAACAGTCAAGAGTGTATAAGAAGATAGAGAAGATGTGTCATTCATAATAGTATATTCTGGTGATTATTAGAAGATAAACAAGTTCATGTTTCACAATGTATTACACTTACTGCTAACAAACTGCCTGATATGAGCACTATGAGAATGCTTATTATGAGAACAGAGAGTCATTGCCAGAAATGCATACAATGTGATAGATGAACAGATGAAAAGAGTTGAACAGAAGAAGAAGTAGAAATCTTGAATGAGATAGTGATGTTCAATGATGACAATAATGAAGATAATGATTGAAAAATGAGAAAAGTTAGTGAATAAGTGATGTAATATAGTGAAAGTTTCTTTGTGAGAATGTACACAGAATACTAGCTGAATCAGAGATAGATTATACAATTACAAAACACTAGTGGCGAGCTAATCCGCATGAAGCTAGGGTGTATGACATGGTCATGTGAGTGTGACTGAATCTGATGAAGAAGAATGTGATTCGGAAGAATATACAACTGTTGAATAATAACACAGCCACTTTCAAACTACTAGCATATAAATGTAAAGGGGGCCATAGCGGCCACTAATTAATTTAGTGTATGATATTACAATATATAAGAAGCCGGCGTACGCCTGTAATTGTACGCTGGCTTAAGCAACCTTTGAATCACATAGCAGGTAACTGAGACTTGAGAACAGATGAAAAAGCTATTATTCTTGCTGCAAGATTAGCAGCAGTATTTATCATTGAAGACAGATGTACATGATATCTCTTTACAGATTTTAAGAATGTCTTTTCAGAAAGAGAAGTGATGAAGTTTCCTGATATCAAGATACAATATAAGATTCATCTTGAAGATAATGTAATGACACTGTATAAGTCTCTTTATAACTTGTCTGTAAAGAAATTAAATGTTCTGCACAAATATCTTAAAGAAGTGCAATCAAAGAACTGAATACATTTATCAAAGAGTTCAGCAGAAGCATCTATACTCTTTGTACTCAAGAAGAATGATAGACTATGTCTATATATAGACTACAGAGATCTCAATAAGATGATAGTTAAGAATTACTATTCATTACTGTTAATTAATGAGATGATTGATTGATTATCTGAAGCAAAGATGTTCTCAAAGATTAATATACAGAATATCTATCATAGAATCAGAGTTAATGAAGATGACATTTGAAAAATGACTTTTTATATGAAGTATAGCAATTTTGAATATCTTGTTTTATCTTTTAATCTTTGTAATGCTTCAGTCATCTTTCAGATCTATATAAATAAGACACTGCAGAGCCTTGTTAATGTCTTCTGTATAATATACTTGAATGACATTCTAATCTTCTCAAAAATGAAGAAAGAACATAATATTCATATTTGAGAAGTGTTAAGTCACTTGAGATAGTATCAACTCTATACAAACACTGAAAAATGCTCATTCTATATACAGAAGATTGATTTCTTAGATTATATTATTAGAGTGAATGACATTTCAATGAATAGAAGCTGAGTCTTCATTATTAAGAACTGACTGATGCTGTGAATGTACTGTGAGATGCAGATGTTTCTAGAATTTATTAATTTCTACAGATGATTCATCTATACATATTCACAGATTACTGTCTCTCTTACAGATCTGTTAAAGAGAAGTGTGAAAGATAGAAAAACAGAACTATTTACTCTCACTCAAGACACTGTGCAGATGTTTACAGAATTGAAATAAGCTTTTACAGATGTTACAATACTGAATCACTTTAATTCTGACTTATTCAGTCAGTATAAGACTGATACATCTGAGAATGAGATCTGTGAAATCTTTTCATAGTTAATACTGAAGATCTTTCAACATTGAAAGAATCAGAGAATAATTATCTCTGAGAAAATAGACAATAAATTGTCTGTGAGAGAAGGCTTTTTCACAGAGTCTATAAAATACTATGAATGAAGATCAGTGATCTTCTTCTTCAAGAAGTTATTACTCATGCAGAGAAGATATAATACTCATGATTAGAAGATATTAGTAATTATTGAATTCTTTAAGATCTGATGACATTATCTTCAGAGTAGTAGATACTCAGTGTAAGTTCTCACTAATTATGTAAATCTGTGTTACTTCTTGACAATAAAGAGCTTGATAGAATGTTAAGTCAGATGAGTGAAGCTGCTTTTGAAGTATGATTTCTATATCTGATACTATTCAGATTGACTTAACTCTGCTGATACACTGTTTAAATGATCTGATTATAATATTGTTAATATGAAGAAGAGTTCTATAAAAGAATCTCTGTCATCACTGCAGAAGAAGCTGGCTGCAGAGAGTTGAGATTCTCTGAAGCTCAGAAATAGCACTGGTAAGATAGCTGTGTGACTCAGTATAGAAGATGAAAGAAAATCTGAGTTCTTGCAGAGAATTGACACTGAAGATCATGAGCTTCTTATATTATATCTTACTATCATTGAATTAGCAAAGAATGAAACAGTCTACAATCTTTCAATCTGACTACTTTTGAAATTCATTGATAAGTTATAGAAGAGAGATGTCTATACTGCAGCTT